TTCTTCCCTTTCATCCTCCTCGCCTTCCTCCTGTCATGCATTCTTTATTCCTCATCATATTTCTGGTTCCTTTTCTTCCAGTTCTCTTTGATTTTTCAAGCTAATCAAGACGGAGTCTCTTTCTTAAGACATGTTTTACTAGAGAGAATCGCAGCTAATTGAAGCATTAAATTGAAGCCTGTATGTTTGCACAGGCGTCTCAGGCTTTATCAGCGGTTTGGCAACACGTTGCTTGAATTTATTTGTTAGTGCAGCAGGAAATGAGGTGATCCTTTGGTTTCCATCCATTGTTATAAATGGGACTCTGTAGGAAAGTGAAATGTCTCTGATAATCCCTCCAGTTGTTTATGTTCATCTGTATGAACCACTATCTTTATCTCACATGTCCATCCATCACATTAAGCATGAAATCCTTTGGTGCAGGAGCATCTTAATGGATAGATGTGGAAAAGCTCATTTATTCACCCATTTAATAGAAAAGGTGAAGCTCATATTTAGCAAACATTCATTTTATGAAGAGTAATATATTTTATTTTATTCTATTCATTATCAAGTAACAATTTCATTCAATTGTTTTAAAATGCAGTAAACATCAAATATAACTTAAAGAAATTTTACTTCCTGATTTAACACCTTGAAATGGGGCCTCTGTCTCTTTAAGAAGCTCCTGCTCTTTCTGAAGCTCCACCTTCAGAAAGTCATCACAGCATGGCTCCTCTATTAGCCCTTTAACAACATTTTTACCAGCGTTGCTCTGAGAAGTAGCTTAGCAGCTCCACCAGATGTCTGCTAATTGCTGCTGGCTAGTCTGAAGGAGCTAAGTGGGGGAGGAGCTGCGCCATGAAGGCGGAGCTAGGTCCATCCAGACTGAATGGTTGCCATGGTGATTAAAGGATTTCTCAGACATGCATGAAAGAATCAAGGCAACACTCCTGGTCTGTTTCTGATGAGAAAATAACTTTATAACATGACAGAAAGCTAAAAAAAATTACATTTTACATGATACTGTCCCTTTAACAGAAACAAATTACTAAAATGTTTTAAATACAGAAAATGGCCTGGAGGATTATGGGAAAAACTGTTGACTTCACAGAGTGCTGTGTCTGGAAAAATATAGATAAGAAAGTTTAGTGGAAGGAAAAAGTATGGCAGAAGTCTTAAAGGAATCATAAAGTAAAGGTCATCTAAGAGACAGAAGGAGACTCAGTGGATGGGCCGGACCTCTGCTCAGCACTTCAGATAAAAACACTCACCACATTTCATTCGGAATAATTATCTCTTTAACTTACATTTTATACCAGTTTTGTTTCTTTTCTCCTCTCTTTAACCCATTTGGCTGTCAGAGTCGTGCATCCTTCCTGTTTCTGGAATCTTCTCTGTCTTTTAGTTTGCAAATGGTGAAGCTGCTTTGGTCTTTGTTGCTGAGATAAAAAGACACACAGACGGCGTTTCTGAGCCATCAGTTCTCTCTCAGGGAGATCGATAAGAGCTTCATATTTGCCTCACATCTCTCAGGAAAGTGTCGAAGGGGAAAGTTATTACACGTCGCCTCGGTCACCGTGACAGGCTGCAAAGAACATGTTGTGTCCAGCGAAGATCCATTATCTGTCCAAACAACAGCTCCAAGCAGCACTTCCCTCTGAGAGCAGGAGTAAAACGTCTGGAGTTTAGTGTCGGTTTGATTTGGCTTTTTATGAAGCACATTATCAACACAGATAATGCCTTCAGGTGAGTGTTTCCTGTTGCTAAACTTTCCTCATTAAAACTCTCATCTTAGTTTTCTGAACTCTAAAACAGGATCAGTTCCTCGGTGTGGCGTTAACACAGCAGCTCCTTCATCTGTTTTCACAACAGTCGAAGTTATTAATGCATCAGAGGAGTTTACAGCTACACAGACATTTATTACATTAACAAAGATTGCTCCAGCCAAGGCATGATAACTAATAATAAATATGTTTGCATCCACAGCAGACTGCGAAGGCATCTGGAGATCCATACGGGCTGTTTGCAAATCGTATTATTTTCTGCTGGAACAGCCTCCATTGGTCTAATTTTAGACTCCAAAACAGATTTTTGGAGCCTCTTTGTTGGGATTTTTCTCCGTTTTCAGAGAGAGTGGAGGATTATTGACATCTTCCCTCCATGTTGCTCACAGACAGGATGAGATGAGGTCAGCACAGAAAACCAGACACGTTCTTCCCCTCTGAACCTCCGTAATGCAGCGACCTGATGCTGATGCCTCCCACAAACTGCTGGAGGAGAGAAAAATGTCTCCAATGGAGGGAGTGGGACTTCACTAAAGGAACGAAGGGCGTTTTGACGGCCCTCTTAAAGAGACAGCAGCCCAATTTCAAGGCCTTAAACTGTGAAGCCAAATTTCTTTTAAGTCATGTTTGATGCAGCATTTCTATAACAGTTACTGAGTTGACATGACTTGCAATTCTTTTGACTAACCTTTTACCCAAGGTCTTGATTTTTTCCCAAATGTCTGTGAAGATCATCTCCACCTACTCTAACAGCATTTGGGTATGATGGCATTTTCACAAAATTTAGCCCACCTGGATGCAGATTTTATTAAAAGCAGAAGAAAAAACTAGTAAAACAAATATTAAGAGTTTGATATTCTAAGCTGGAAGCTTGTAGCATAGCACCGTGTTTCCTCCTCCGCTTTCCTCTGACAGAAAGAGTTTCTGTTTGCTGCCTGCTGGCATTTGGTTTATGAAGTTACAATCCTAAAGATCGGGCAGCGATAAGTGTACGCGCACCCAGCCCACATAAAACCAGCTAAAGCATTTCTCCTTTTCTAAAACAACACAGCTCTACCGCCGTACTTATGTTTGCACTCCTAACAACATGAAAGATCAACAAAATATTTATTTTCTCTCCCTGATCCATTTGAAGCAAATACCAGCTGTGGCTGTCGCTCTGTTGAGCAGCGGGAACAAAACAGCTTTTACTGTTAGACAAACAATTATTTAGTGTTGCAGAGAAAAGCCTCAGCTTCTTGGAAAACCTTGAAAAAGTTTAAGGTTGTAACAGCGAGACACATTCAACCACATTTTCTGAAATTTCAATTAGATTTGAGAAAAATCACAATAAATCCATGCTTTAAATTGATTTAAATTGTTGCATAATATGTTCAGCAGGTAAAGATAATGTATTTCCTAATGTGTTTTAATCTGTTTTAGTTAATTTGACGTGTTCAAATGTTATATGTTTAGTCCAGATGATGAGAAAGCAGAGAATTGAGCCTTTACATTTGAAAGTCAGTTTTTGCGTTTAGTTTAAAGACTTTCAGAACCAACTGATGATCAGACCCAAATACTGGGAGACTTTCAAGTTCTGCTAGAGCCCTAATATTCACTGACTGTAAAATAATAATTTAGAGTATCAGTCTGGCCTTCAAAACTCCCTTAGCTTTAAGTTTTGTTGCTTTCGTCTTTGTGCTGCTTAATGATTTCATATTTATCATTTGAAAGTCACTCTGACCTGCAGCCGGGCTGCAAGCGACTATAAATACAGAGGAAATTACTCCAAAGAGACACAAACGGGCCATAAAAGCTGATATCAGGTGACTGTGTGTTTTCCGCTGGATGTCAGCTTTAGTGACTGTAGAGTTTGTTGCATTGATTAGACCTTCAGCTTTCCTCCTTCTGAGACGCTGATGGTTTGTGTGTTGGTGTGCTTCATCTGCTTGCATAAGAAGTGAGATTGAACGCATGTGGTGCACAGAGAGGGAATGAACTGTAGCTGCGAGGGAGCAGTTTAGAAACTGCAGCATTAGCGTTTCAGGCGCTAATGCTGATTGGTGGTATCTTTTAGATCTGGAGGAGCAGCTGACAGGAGAGCGTTCAGAGTTAATCTGTCTCCTCCAGCCATCTCCTCCAGGCACATTCAGGAAAATTGTCTCATCAGAAATGTGGAGTTTTTAGGGCAGAAGACGGCGCATGGATTTGCTGTTTGGTGCTGCAGCACTCGAGTCGATGAGGGACAAAAACTGCTCTGAGGACAGTCAGATGGGGAAGATTTAGTGAGAAATCATCAGGCCAGAAAAAAATGAAACGCAGAGCGGCGGCGGCGGCACTCTGGGAGCCGGAGAGCGGTTCTAGATGTTGATTTATTCAGACTTGATCGCTGCTCAACTTAGTCAATCATTTTTCTGCACAGCACGGCTGAACTGCGACGTCAACAAACGTCTCATCTCCATGTTTCCACTGGTTGCGTAATATGACATCTCTGCAAATCTTAATATCGGAGAATCAATATGCTGTAAATATAATGTGCGCTCTGGTTCACTTATGAGATTAATACACAACTTTTCCCTAAACAAAATCATGCAATAAGGTTTCTTTACATAGACCCAGCTGGGCGCTCAGCGGGAGCTTCCTGATTTGGAAGTAATTTGGTGTTCATGCAGACCAACAATGGATATGCAAATGTTTGGATTAGCAAGAAGCCGGCGTGTGTAGCGAGGCGCCAGGGGGCAGAAGTGGTGGCGTGGGGGGCAGATCTCACTGCGGCTCCACTGTGACTCTCATCACCGTTACAGAACCCTGGACTCCTTTACACACATTGATGTTAGAAGTTTTACTGGTTCAGTTTCACGCTTTGTTTTTTGTTTTTGTCTTGAATTCTCCTCGTTCCCTTTTCAGGGATTCATCAAACGACAGCTGGTGTCCAAATCAGATCGTGCTTCCTCGCAAAAGCAGCACCAAATTCATCTTGAGACATTTAAAGAAACTACTTTTGTCTTCAATTTTAGACGGGGTTCAGCCACTGTTATTTAGATGATTACAGTTTATTTTGCTCCTCAGCAGCCTGAGCAGAACCCTGATAATAGACACAATGATGGGCTGCGTTTATTGCTGCCAGCAGCGGCTCAGGCCTGTGATTACTGTGCTGCTCACATCGACTGGACGGGCGATGAAACGTGACGCAGGTGCTGTTTGTGGAAATAACTGAAATATTTCCTAACTCGCCTCCTGCTGCTGCGTTTCCAGGTGAACGAGATTTACCACGACGAGTCGCTGGGGGTTCACATCAACGTGGTTCTGGTCAGGATGATCATGCTGGGTTACGCCAAGGTGAGTCTGAAAAATCCCTCGGTAGGAACCGTTTTCACACAGAAGGGAAATATTCCCTCTCACTTGTTCCTATGTCACATTCTGATCTACCAAGTTACATTTACTTGAGTAATTTTTTTTTTTTTTAAATGTACTTTTAGGAGTACTTTTACTGCGCTTTACTTTTTACTTTTGAGTAAATTTCTGGATTTTCTTCCAACTGAAAGAAAAACAAACATGTTTTAACCAAACATTCACCAGAAACACCTGCAGTTTTTGGAAAAATCTTCTTGTGCCTGGTCTGATTTCATAATTATGTTATTTATATGAATTATTTTCATTTTGGTTCATAAAATACCCAAAATGTCCACATAACTTTACATCCATCTGTCTGATAATGCAACTTTTAATAATTAAATTATTGATAATTTGATCAGTTTCTCAGTACTTGATTGAACGTTTTACCAAATACTTCTTTACTTTTACTTGAGTACATTTTTTGACTCCTCACTAAAATCCTGTAATTAGCCAGAGAAATGCCAGCTTTCGCCGATTTTTATTCTAAAACATGACTGGTGATGATAATTATCCATTTTAAATCTCTCTGTGTTTCCAGGAGAATTTCATATATAAATAATAATGCAATCAGTGACATTCTCAACATAATTCATCATTATAATCAGATTTTGGTCCACTGAATGATAAAGATAAGTTTTCTTTGGAGATAATAACAATATTTTACTAAAGGGTCATCCACCTAACATTTAATATTTATTGTAATATTCAAAACCTGCTGATGAAAAAGATTCAACATGAAGTCCTGACAGCCAGGAGCTTTGAGATTTAATTGGCTTTGTCTAGGATGATTTAGTGCAGATTGTATTGAACTTGTAGAAAGACAAGTAGAGATAATAGGATTAAACCCAAATCAGTAAAAAGTAAAACAATAAGGCTTAAAGTGATTGTAGTTGGTTTTTATTTAATACTCAGCCATTTCCAAGGTAAATATACAGATAATTAAAACTAATAAATGCAAACAGCCAGTCTGAGGTTTCCAGTAAAAACTCCCAGACAGAAAGAGTTCTGCTGCGGATTTGAAATCAGAACATGGATCTGGGAAAAACCTCGAGTCCGACTTATCGAGTTTCTTCTCCCAGAAAAACCTAAAGGATCATGGGAACTAACGGAGGTCATACAGCTCAACGCCTCGGGAAGATTTAACGTCCAAATAAATCGTTTATTTTTCTGTTTTTTTGTGAAACATTGACCTCCATATCTTATAAATAACTGTTTCATGCTTTTCCGCCGTGAATATTCATTAATTCTTTATATTAAGAGCAAAGGTTGTGTCGCGCTGTGTGTGGGAGACCATTGGCTAATGGACTTTAGCGCTTTACATCGGTAATTAGCGTTATTATGCTAAAACTGTGTTTGTTCAGAGGAAACCTGAACTCTGTGAAAACATGAATGACCTTTTTTTATTTCTCTGTTTGAGGTCAAACCAAAGCGAACTTCTTGTGTTTTAGGTCAGGTAGGATTACTGCAATTATTTATCTTTGCTAATTGCCATAATAATTAGGAAGAGGAGCTGTTGGTGCATTTTTATTACTTTCTTTAAATCCAGAGGTGAAACTGGATAGTTTGGTTTCCGTCGTTGCTTTGTGTCCTCGCTGAAAATGAACCTGTCATGTTGTGCTGCTGCCTGAGAGGAAATGATCTGAGCACTTTTCCCTTTTCCTCGTCTGTCAGTCCATCAGCCTGATTGAGAGAGGAAACCCATCACGGAGTCTGGAGAACGTTTGCCGCTGGGCGTTTGTGCAGCAGAAAGGCGACCTTGATCACGCCGAGCATCACGACCACGCCATCTTCCTCACGCGCCAAGGCTTCGGCCCCACCGGCATGCAGGGTAAGGCGAGTTTGTATTATGTGCATTAGTGTGTACAGGTAGGAAAGTGTAATTGCTGACTAGAAAAGCTCTGAGTGCACACCATGTTGCATATAGACGTACTATTTTCCTCAGTTACCATGGAAACCACATCTTGGTCTAATTAAAGGAAGCTCATGGACGCACCAGAGTACAACTTCTAGTGTTTGGATCTACCGGCTGAGCAGCAGACCTTAGTGCAGATGGACTTTACCTGGAGATAAATCAAATGTAGAGTTAAAATAAAGTCTTATTTTAGAGCATAACACTAAGAAACTTCATTTATTTATGAATTATGTGAAAACAACTGAAGTTTCATAAAGAGCCAAAACCACAGAAAGAACAAAGCAACATTAAAATGCAGCTTGATTGGGTTTGTGCCACATTTCACTGATTTCTCTCCATTCAGGCGGGATTTTCTAATCGTTTTGAAAACAATTGAGTTTTTAATTAATTGAGAGTCTGTTTGTTTTCACTATGAATTATACTGAAAACACATGAATCAAACACAACACAAGATACCGCTGGGAAAATATAAGAAGCAGAGTTTATTTTAAAACAGTGAGAAAATTATACTGAAAATTATACCCACTTTATTAGGTATACCTTTCCAGTTGATTAATACAAATAAGGGCTGCACAGTTGGTAGAGCTGTTGCCTTGCAGCAAGAAGGTTCTGGGTTCGATTCCCGGCCCCAGTCTTTCTGCATGGAGTCTCCATGTTCTCCCTGTGCATGGTGGGTTTTCTCCGGGTACTCCGGTTTCCTCCCACAGTCCAAAAACATGTCAGGTTAATTGGCCTCTCCAAATTGTCCCCATGGTTGTGTGTCTCTGTGTTGCCCTGCGACAGACTGGCGGCAGCTGGAGAGGCACCTCCTGACCCACTGAGGGACAAGGGATGGATGGATAATACAAATAATTGATCCATCACATAGCAACAGCTCAATGTGGCATCGTTGTTAGCACCAACATTGACACATATATATGAATATATATATATTCTCTACTTGTGAGCGATAATCATCAGAATTATAAGTAATAAACGGTTGAATTATTTCAACTGTTTATCCAAGAGTAGTGAATCGATAATGGTTTTACTCTGATATAAGAGAAAAATGTAACTTTTTAAACTTATTGTTTTAGTTGCCTGACTTGTTTTTTACTTTGAAAAACATCATTATTTCCTCTTTTTTCCATTGCTGTCAGAAACAGACGCACACTGAAAATGACAACATCTGAAAATCAAACCTTCTGAGCGATTCGAGTGCTGATATAAACGGATTTATCAGGGTTAGCTTAATGAAGGCTGATCCTGCTGAATGTGTGCAGCTATTTCATCATTTCTCTGTTAAAATAAAAAACTGTTTAAAAGAAGACGTGTCACAGTCTGAGAGACTTTGGGAGTCACTGTGAGGATTTGTTGCTGTGGGGGAATCGTGCAGCATATTTAAATGACTGGATGACAAGTCAGAGTTTCTCCATAAAACCTGACAGTCTTCAGTCACCTGAAGGCAACACAAAACATTTTCTTTACTGCTTTATGGCTAACAACCTGATTCGTATGCGCCACCTTGTGGTGAGTGTTGTTTAGAGACAATAAACTCTTTCTTTAATAAAACACGGACTGGTTATGTGGAAAAAAGTGAGACATGCACAACCTCTCCTCACTAATATCCTGTTATGAAGGCTGTCAGAATAATAATGCCGACCAGAACCTGAGCAGAACATCTTTCTAAATGACAAATTATTGTCCAGCAAAATGTATTGCAACAGGCCTATTCAAGTGTGTCGTCTTTATGCATATTTTCACTAATTCCAGTGTATATAACAAACCAAACATTATCATGTGTCCTGTTTAGTTGCGTTCTGTTTGTATGCATTGGATTGTGTCTCATTTTGTTTCCCTTGTTGCAGCTCTTGATGTTTTTTATCTACTGTGTTGGAAACGAGCCACTCTGCATAAGGAAGAACACATTCTTCTTCTTGCTCAACAACTCACTTTTTTTACTTTCACAACCTTCTTATCTAAGCCAGATGCTCTTAAAAGCAAGACATTTATAAAACAAATGGTTTTATTTGGATACTTGAAGGTCTATTTAAAACAAAAAAAGTTTTGTTCAAACTTGATTTCTAACCCAAAATGTCCAAACGGTGGAAACAGTTTTTAGAGAGAAAGTAAAGTTATAAGATGATAAGATGCAGTTATGCTTTATTTTCAAATTTATTGATCGCCAACAAACAAAACTTAATGCAATTATTCTGTCAATTCAAAGCATGTTTTAGTCGTCAGAAGCTCATCTTCCAATCATCCTGATAATAATAATGATGTCTGTTCCTCAGGACGACGACTCACAGCGTCGCTTCTGCAAAGAAACAGAACAAACACACAGCCATTACTTTTCAACAAATCTATATCTAATTTTCACCGCAAAGCAGGTAAACACTGCAATCTAACCAATCGATGCAGATGAAGACGATGTCTGGATGAAATTACGTTTAAATGAACTCGGTTCTGACTGTGGAAACTAAAACAACTTATTTAGACGGAAGTTGGAATCAAATCGACTGTTTCATTTGAGCAATATTTTAGAGATGCATGTACTAATATATATATATATATATATATATATATATATATATATATATATATATATATATATATATATATATATATATAT